TTATTTATTTGACACACATACAAAAATAGAGTGAGCTGTTTCATTTCCCAAACACCTGATATGGCTAGGACTGGGGACAGGCTGAAGCCAGGAACTGGGAATTCAATACAGGCCTCCCACTTGGATGGCAGGGATCCAGCTCCTTGAGCCATTCACCTGCTGCCTCCCAGGTCTCCCAGGGTGCATATCACCAGGAAGCTGAAATATGGAGAACTGGGCACTCAACACAGGTACAATGGTACAGGATGCACTAATTCCTACATGCACTCATATAAAATTTGTTTTAATGCAAAAAGCAGTTATGTGCATCAGAAGGGATAGAAAATAGCAACCCTTCTGCCCTTGGATCTCATAAATCCTTCTGAACACAAATGTTTAGACTACTGAAGGGTTCTCTCAAAATGGTTTCTGGTACTTATCCTTTCTGTTTGATTTTAAAATTATTTGAGAGCACCGAGAAAGATTTTCTTATTGTGGCTATAAATTTCTGATGGTAACTTTTATTTTGGACTCTCAAAATCATTTGTAACATTAGGCAGAAGGATGCATAATTTTGAGGAGTGATTAGTATGGGCAAAACCTTCAACAAGAGAGTAAGCTTTAGTGTTGAAGAGTATACTGTTTCTTCTGTCCCACATTTAAAACACATCATAATGACAGATTTTGCTTATATGTTTATTTAGTAATTTCTCAGGATATGTATCTACTCACAAAAGATAGTTTTATTGTAGAATTCTGCATTTAGAGAATTCTTTTAGTTATGAGTTCTTTGTCAGATATGTGTCTTAAAATATTTTGTCTTTGGCTCATCTATTTGCAGAACAAATTTCAAATTTTTATCAGTTCTAATTTTGAAATTTTTCTTTTATGCATTATGAATTTAGTGTCTTGTCTAATAATTCTTCATGAAGCCTTAGATCCTGGATCCTTAGATTTTCTCTCAAGCTATATTCTTCATCTTATATGTAAATGTGTGACCCACTTATAGATAATATGGGTCAATATGTGAGGTTTAGGTCAAAGGCTGTCCAGCTGCTTCAGCCACATTTGTTGCAGCTATTCTGCTTTGACTGAATTGCTTTTGAACTTTTGTCTAAAATCAGCTAAGCATATTCACATTAGTGTATGACTTCATTTTCTATTCTATTGCATTGTGTTATTCTGCCAAGATCATATACTTCATATTATATACTATCTATACACTAATATATATATCACATATATTAGTGCAACTATGTATCTTGATATTGCATTTTTTGTCTCACTTCTTTAAGATTTGTCTCACTTCATTTTTTAAAGATTTTTTTAAAAAGTATTCTTGTTCCTTTGCCTTTGACTTTTTGAAACTTGCCTTTGACTTTGAAATTTTAGAAGACTCATCTCCATATCTTCAACATATCCTGCTGTTAAGTTCATACAGATTATGATAAATCTGTGGGTCAACTTGGAGAAATTTGGCATCTATTGTGTTGAGTATTCATATGTCTTCTCATTTATATTATTTTTCAGCAGTGTTTTGCAGCTTTTAGTACATAGGTACTAAATATGTTTTGACAGATTTACATCTCTTTCCTTTTCTCTGGAAATTGTTAACTGCTTTATTTTTAAATTCTGGTTTCTATACACTAGTAAGTATAGAAATATAACTGATTTTTGAATGTTGATCTTGTATCTTGAGATCTTGCTGAATTCACTTGAGTTTTTTAAAGCTAGGTTTACTTTATTTCCCTTTCTTGACTACTGTGATGGCTAAAATAGTCCATATTAGATTGCATAAGGGTAGTAATAATTGACACCCTTGTATTCCTGATCTTGGTGGGAAATTTTTACCATTTTTCATTAAGTATAATGTCAGTTGTAAGCTTTTTGGAGTCTTTGTTACCAAATTGAAGCAGTCCCTCTCTGTTTCTACCTTTCTGAAAAAGTTTTAAATCAATGGATGTTGGAGTTCATTAAATTTTTTTTGCAGATTTATTTATTTATTTGAAAGTCAGAGTTACACAGAGAGAGAAGCAGAGAGAGAGAGAGAGATGTCTTCCATCCACTGGTTCATTCCCCAATTGGCCACAATGGCCAGGACTGTGCCAATCTGAGACCAGGATCCAGGAGCTTCTTCCAGGTCTCTCACGTGGGTGCAGGGGCCCAAGGACTTGGGCCATCTTCTACTGCTTTCCCAGGCCATGGCAGAGAGCTGGATCAGAAGTGGAGCAGCTGGCAATGGAGGCGGCAGTTTTACCTGATACGCCACAGCGCCGGCCCCCATTAAATGCTTTTTCTACATCAAATTTTATGACCATGTGATATTTCCTCTTCAGCCTATTAATACGGTGGCTTACACTGGTTTTTGAAAACTGAATCCATCTTGAATGTGCATATTCTGAGCACTATCACTCATGAGCACAAACCCAAAGACTTCCAAATGGAATTTCAACAAATGAGCTTTTTTGCAGTCCTATTCTATCATAAACTACATGGCTTAAAATAGCAACAATATATTCTGTTCTAGACTTTCCAAATCAATTCCATTTGTGTCTCCAGGGCTGGTTCTTTCCAGAGCTTCTAGGGGAGAATCTGTTTTCTTGCCTTTTGTAGTCTCCTAGAGCCATCCACATTCTTTGGCTCATAGCCCTTCTCCTCCATAATTAAAGCCAGTAGAGTAGCATCTTCAAATCTCTCTGTCCCTCTGCTCCCATGGTTACATTTCACTCTCACTCCCCCTGCCGCCCTTTTACAACAACCCTTGTGGTTCCATCAGGCCCACGGGGATAATCCAAGACAATTTTCCAATTGAAGATCCTAAACCCAGTCATATTTGTAAAGTACCTTTTTCATGTGAAGTAACAAATTCCCAGGTTTCAGGGACTAAGAGATGAACATCCTGATGGGCTATTTTATTTTTGGTGTACTATCCTTTTTGGTTGTAGTATCAAGGTAATACTGTATAGTCTTATTTTTTTAAAAAAAAGATTTATTTATTCATTTAAAGGCAAAATGACAGAGAAGCAAAGGGAGAGGGAGGGGATAAGCTGGTTCACACCCCAAATGTCTGCATTGGTCAGTGCTGGTCCATGTTGAAGCCAGGAGCCAGTAACCCCATCCAGGTTTTCCACATGGGTGGCAGGGAATCAAGTGCTCTTGCTGTCATCATCTGCTGCCTTCTTGGTTGCATTAGCAAGAAGTTGGATTGGAAGCAGAGTAGCCAGGACTTGAACCATGCATTCTAACATGGGAGGCACACACCTCAAACAGAAGCTTAACCCCTGTGACACAATGTCTGCCCCTTGTTTTTAACTTCATAACAAATTTCTACTGTTTTGATATTATATTTCATTTTTTTCTTATTGTTGCGTTCCTGTGTATTGGGAAGATTGTGGTGATGTCTCAGCTTGGAAATGCTGATGCAGATTGCATTCTTTTTGCGTAGGTACAGTGTTGCTACACAAAAATCAGAATGTGTTGCTATCTGATTCAATGAAAAAATATTCTATACCTCACTAGGCCTCAAAAGTGTGAGTTTTAGGTACCATTTTCTTGATCTTATTTTGATATGATGAGCATGCACTGGTATTTTTTAAAATTATGGTAAGACAGTATCTGTGGCATTTGATATTCTATCAGATCACAACTCTGTCACTGTTGATTTGCAGGGTGCAAGTAGGAGTGCAAAGTGATGAAAGCACCACATGTGGCTTCTGCCACAACTACTCAACTCTACTGCTGTCAAGCAAAGCAGCCATAAACAACGTGTGAACCAATGAGTGTCACCGTGTTCCACTACAACTTTATTGATGGACACTACAATTTGAATGTCATATAATTTTCATTCTACAAAATATTATTCTTTTAATTTTTAAAAACCTCTTAATAATATAAAATCTATTCTTAGCTTGTGTATCATGCAAATATAGGTAGAAGACCAGATTTGGCCTGGGAGTTATAATTTTCCAACCTTTACCTTAATCTCATGGGGCCAATATTCTGTGGGGTTGGGGGAGGGGAGAGGAGACAGTAAACAAGAAATAAGTGAACTGATGCATAAACTGGATAATTTTGTCTTATAAGGAAATGAATTGGTAAGATAGTCAGGGAATGTGTCTCTGAGGAAAGGCATAAGGTGAACCTGAATGATGATAAGGGGCCAGCCATGAGGGAAACTCTGTGAGGGGTATTCTAGAAAGAGAATACCAATGGCAAATGTGGGCAATAGGTGAAAATTTGGTGAATTCGAGAAACCAAAGCAGGTGGAACAGGAAAACAGTGAGGAGGTGAAATAGGTGAGAATATCCAAGAATCTAAACATGGATTGGTAAGAATACAAACTTAATTAGTTGACCACAGTAGGATTTTGCTAGATCTAACCTAATTTGTACACTAAATATGAGTACAGAGTATGGTAAATTTAAAAGAGAGAGAGAGGAAGAGAAGGGTAGAAGGGAGAGGAAAAAATTTTTTCATTGCTGTGAAAATAGAAAAATACAGTATCTCCTATATAACCCAGTATAGCAATGAAGGTAGATAAAAATCAGAACACACAATGTATTTCATTAAATGTTCACCCTGAAGTTGTGATGCTTCATTTTACATTTGCTGGAAATACAAATATGTTGCTCACTGGTTCACTTAGGGCCATTTAGAGCAGTTTTGCTGTAGAAAGTCTGGTTTCTTTTAAAATCTAAAACATTAAATCTTTCATTTATACCTTCTTCTTTTTATATTCAGACCAATTTGTGTGTACCAAGCTTGTTTTAGTGTAGTGCATTGGAAGGAAAATCATTTTAAAGTTTGCATTGATTTGTGGCAATATTTGTATTCAATAATCAAATGCTATACTATTTCCTATAAAATGGCTAGGCACTTAATTAGTTCCTCTTGTTCAGCAATTAATTAGTTTCCAAGACTTCTTATTTTCGTATTGAACTTGACTATTGATAGTTGGAGCAAACACCATATGAGGATTGCAATGAATGTTTTCTAATCATACCACATAAAAAGTTTTCATATTTGGGAAGACGTGTTCTATTATAACATCATCTAATATCTTTCATAATTGTGAAATATCCTTCAACTAGTTTCTTGTTTTCGTTTATCTTCTCCAGTACTGCTTCTAGTAAATATGAAGCAAAAGGAAGCTGGAAGAGAAACACACACAAAAACAGATTATCAAAACTCTGTATTTTCTTCCATTCAAAAACATATAATAAACACCATTAGACTCTCAGAACTTAGCTGTCTGCAACTTTGCACACATAAGAGTACCCAACTGGATCTCTTTTCAACTGTCCTTCCTGGTTAGTGTGGGTAATTTTGTCTTTTCTAATAAAAATGATAAAAGAGCAGAAGTAAAATGAAAAAAGATAAACGCCGTATTGAACAATTCATGGTTTACTGACCATGTTAATGATGTAATCTGCAATACAAGCAGCTAAGCCATTTATCTTCAATCAGCTGATCAATAGCAGGTTACAGTCATCTCTAGGGCACTCAGGCTCACAGAAGTAGGACTGTAAGTTCATCACTCATAAAAGAATGAGAGAGAACTATCAATACACTTGTCTGGGTCAGAGCTGAACATTTCCAGAGTTGTAAGCTAAAACTTCAGAGGGAAAAAATGGCAAAAGTATACTCATTGATTAAGTTGTTATAGGAAAGTTTGTTTGGTATATCAAAGTGTAATACACATGTTGTAAACTGCTGAGTTTATGAAATGTAGAGTACATTTTAAAGTTTCATAATTTATATAACTTTTCTGCTACAGTTTTATTGCTTCCTTTGCTTCACTGGGTTGCCTGTGGAACTCTGACTCATAGAATTACAAGCTGTGAGTAAAACAAAAGCTGAAATGCTGCCTCAATTACTATCCATAGTTCTATCAACTTCCTTTTGTCCTTGTTCTCAGCCACCTGGTCTACATAAGAGGTCTGCCACAATTCGCAACTCATTAAGCCATTCCTTGAACTTGTCCTTTTGTTTCCCTGAGAACATCATTTAGAACTCTCATTATGCACAGCTCCCTGCCCTACACTGTGTGTGACAGGGTGACCACTGCTGGTGCCCACAGGTCAGCACCTGACCAAAACGGCTCCATGTTCTCTGCCTGGGCTGCTCACCATGCTCTGTGGAGGTGAAGATTGCTAGTGATACCAATCAGAGAGCCAGAATCTGCACTGGTGAAAAGAGAACACAGTAGGCACAGCAGAGAAGCAGTAGGGCAGATGGGCAAAACCAGACCACAGAAACCAAGTAGAGAAACAGAGTCTGAGACAGGTCCTAGAACCACCTCAGTCCTATGTAGCTTTCTAATTCAAGTTCATCCTTATCTTAATAATGTCTGCCTTCTCCTTTTGGGAACCTGAGCCTGTGTCTGTTCCCCAGAAAGACTCGGCTTCCTACATTTGTCTCACTTAAACCTTGCTGTTGAGCTAAAGCAAGGATACGATATCACAATAGCACACTCTCCAGTTCTAAGAAATAGTCGATCATGAAACAGACACCTACAATAGCTTTGCTGGGGAGAAAACTCACCACATTAAGCATACACACAATTCCGTATGTTTTCTTATTTCAGAAATGAGAAAAAGAGGGCAAAGTGCATCTCAGAATAAAAAAAAAAAGAAGAAGTTCGATTCTCTCTGGAAGCTAATGATACTAACAGCAAATTTGTACTTTGACAAATTGCCCTTCTGGGAGGCAGAAGAGAATTACATTGGGCAAAATTGCTGGTTTTACAAATAATGTAATTTAAATCTTCAGGGCATTAATATTAGGTGTTAAAGAAATGCACAATAAAAATGACAAAACGATTGGGCAATTTTCTTTTATTTAAACTATGTCACTCAGTACCATACACATTCCTATCCAAAAGGAAGATAAACAAGCTGGGAATAACCTCTGCTATCTTACTGGTGGAAATAAAAACAGAAGCGAGTGTTTAAAAGTTCATTTTCTAAAGTTGTTCTAAAAAAATGGTTCTCTGATGAAATAAGTATGGGAAACAGACCAAACTTTAAAAAAGCCCTTTATTTCCAGATCTCTTAGAATCTTTCTGATGCTAACAGACATTGTGTTTCTCCTAGAGAAACAATGTAGTATCTGGTTTCTAAATTCATTTGTTCATCTTTTTCTCTTGATCTGTTTATCATGTTGTACTAGTGTCCCTGGAACACACTTTGGGAAACATGCTGGTTATATAATTTCCTACTTACCCATATCAGAGCACTTTTACCAGGTCACAATGTGCTGAAATTGTACTGACATTAGTCATCTTTTTGCAAATTTCATTTTTAAGTTAAAATCAAAACCCACTCTTATTTTGTGATCTAAACAATTTTCCATATACCATATACTTGGGCACTTTGCTTCTCTTAAAACATCTACTGCAATGAAGTTCTCTTGCTCCAATGTGGAACAAGAGGTTTCTTTTTTAAGTCATTGCCAACTAGAAACTTTATTCTTTTCTTATAGTTTCCAGTAAAACCAAGGTCCCAAAGTAAAACACTGCTTAACTGCTTTACTGGATTGCACGATTTTTTAAAAGCTTTGTATAGAGGCTAATACATTACAGATTTCACAGAGCAATTAGTCCTTTAATCAAGATACTCACTTTGGAATGGGCACTTGGCCTAGTACTTAAGACACCAGTTGAAGGACCACGTCCCATAAAGAAATACTTAAGTTTGAGTCTCAGTTCCCACTCCTGATTCCAGCTTCCTGCTATGTGGAACTTGGGAGGCAGCAGGCGACTGCTCAAGTAGTTGGGTCCCTGCCACTCTTGTGGGAGACCTGAATTGAGTTCCTGGCTTCCAGTCCCAGTTGTGGTGGGCATTTGGGGAGTGATCTGCGAGTGAGCTCGAACATAATAGCTAGGTCTCTCTTTCTCTGCCACTCAGAAAAACAAAACAAAACAAAAAGCTGCACTGTATGAGCATATCTATTTGCTGTTCAGCTTCTTCTACTTTCATCTACAAATAGTTCAGAAGAATATTCTTAGTCTTTTATAATTTTAGGCAAAAATGATCTTATTTTATCAGTTGAAGATGTTTACCTATTTCAATTCAATTTTTCTGTTTTCCTTTTTTAAAAAGTATATTTATTTCCAAGATAGAGTTCCTATCCACTGGTTCACTCACCCAAGAATATGCAACACTTGTTCCAAAGCCAGGAGCTGGGAACCCAACCCAGGTCTCCCACACAGGTGGCAGGAACCCAATTACTTAAGCCATCATCATTCCCTCCCAGGGTCTGCATTAGCAGGAAAATGAAATCAGGAGCAGAGCTGGGAATTGATCCCAGGTACTCTGACATTGGATGTGAGTGTCCTACCTGGCATCTTAACTGTTATGGTAAATGCATGGCCCCTTATTTTCCTTTTTTATAAATCAACTCTGACTTTATTTTTCCCTTCATTCTACTTGCTGGTTATAACTTGTAGTGTAATGATAACCATAAATCCAGCTTTCAAAGAAGTCTTTCAAAAATTATTTAAATATATATAGAAGGCTAAATAATTAATGGAATCTTAAAACAGAAAATGTAATTTAGACAATATTTAATAGAAACAAATCTAAATGAAGGCTAAGGAAAAGTCATAGTTACAAAATATTTTATAAAATATACTTATTTTATTCAAATGAATATGATAAAGTAATTGTTAACTAAAATAGTTCAAGTAGAAGCTCCTCCTATTTTACAAATAGTTACTGCTTTATGGAATATATTTAATATGTATTCAAATAATTAATTCATTTTTAGCTTTAAAACTACCCTTTATCACCAAGATTATACTATTTAGTTAGCAAATTTTTCCATAAATGAACAAATAAAATTTTCTACTTAGTCTAGGATGAATTAAGAGTTCAAATTTATGAGAATGGTTAAGAATAGGATTTTCAAGTCAACAGGCTTATTTTGCTTGAGAGTTATAACTTTTGTCAAATACAGATTACCACTAATAATTTATGATAAATCATATTTAACCTGAAGGCTGGATGGAATATAGTTTAATCTTCAGTGATTCAATAAATCTGTTCGAAATCTTACAGTACCACTTGGACATGAATTCTCAACATTAGTTCTACACTGGTAAAGGTAAAGCTGAAATTGTATTTGAAAGTACCTTAAAAATTCACATGGTATGTTTGTTGGCCATGTTTTTAAAACTGTAACATGTTTATTAAATGCTAAGACCAGGAGAACCAAACCTTCTACTACTTTCAGGTCCAGATTAAGTGCAAGTTTATTGTATACAGGCAGTTTAGATTCAATTGAATTATTTCTGTAAGCATCTAGAGGGAGTTGCTGTGCCCAGAAATCCTGCAGATATAGAAAGCATAACTGCTCTTTTGCTAATAGGATTTTGGAATTGGATTGAAGTGGCTGCCTGACTGGCTAGTGGCAAAGAGCCTTTCTCACTCACTCTATTAAATACATGGGAAACTACAAGCCTGATAATTAATGCTGCCTTGAGTTTCATCTTCGATGGCATACACCAGGGGTTAAAAATCTGGAGAGCCTACACATCTTCTTTCTCTTGGATGAAAAAGGAGAAGTGATACTCCTGGTTACGTCGTACAGAATTACAAAAGCATGACCTCTGTGACATAAGGAGGAAAATGGACAGCTGAGTATTTGATACTCAGTGGGATTTCTTGGTAAGGAAATGTAATTGAGACACTGGACAGAACAAATAACAAGAGCATTACTTGGTCTACTTACACTCTGAAAAGCAGGTCTTCCTATTGCTTCTGGCTGTTCTTGTTGCAAAAGGTGATTTCTATCACTGGAGGGATTTCCCCTGCTTCCTCCACACATATTTTCAGCCTTCCCTTACACGTAAATACTAACAGATGTTTGCCTTTTGGAACTGCCATTCTGATTATGGCACCATGGCAATAATCTGAAACTTATCACTCACACTTAAACACCGTGGCTTCCTTTAGAGGTATTTCATTATAAATGATGATTATAGATGTTTGAGAGTGACATTAGAAAAATAACTGAGTCTAATATCTGACTGCAAAACATACAGACAGCTTACAAAATCAGTACTAACTGGAATGTGCTGTTAACAATGTAAGGAGGGGCATGGGCACTGTCCGGTTAAACTACTGCTTGCAATGTCAGAAGGGCACAT